ATGTCCGTCTTCCTGAGGTAGGGAGTCCCCAGCCCTCCTTCCTAGACCTGGGTCCCAATTCCATCACCACTACCAGGCTTTACCTGGCTGGAGCTCAGCCTTCAGGCTCAGACTTCCAAACTCCCCTGGTGTTTCCTCCTAGCTGCAGCAACTCCCTGGTTCCAGGGTCTTCCCTGCAGGAGCCTTTCCTTGCTCTCTCTGTAGTCTCTGACACAACTTCCTGAGATTCCCCCTCCCTCTGTAGCTTCCTGGTACTCTTATAATGGAAATCACCTGATTCCTCTCTTTACCAACCAGGATAGGCTGGCCCCAGGCCAGGCCTCCTTCCCTTAGGGTAAGCCAGCCTGTTACAGTAACTCTGTCTATATCTCTGGTCTCATTGCCTCTCACTCCCCTTCCCCCATGTTTCCTAATCCCCACTCTTTACTGCTTTCATCTCCTTCTCCCACTGTTGTCTTTGCACCTACAGCCTGAAACCAACTCCCACTTTTACTCTGTTAAACTCCCTCCCTCTGCCCTTACTGTATTAGACTTAGACTTGCGTGTTTTATTTTATTTTGCTTGGTAATTCACTTTGTTCTATCTATTATTACTTGGAACCACTTAAATCCTACTTTTTTTATTCAATAAAATCACTTGTTACTTATTAATTAACCCAGAGTATGTATTAATACCGGGGGGAGGGGAGGGGAAAGCTGTTCATACCTCTCTATCAGTGTTATAGAGGGCAAACAATTTATGAGTTTACCTGTATAAGCTTTATACAGGGTAAAACAGATTTATTTGGGGTTTGGACCCCATTGGCGGTTGGGTATTTGAGTGCTGGAGACAGGAGTACTTCTCAAGCTGTTTTCAGTTAAGCCTGCAGCTTGTGGGGGACGTGGTTCAGACTTGGATCTGTGTTTGCAGCAGGCAAGCGTGTCTGGCTCAAACAAGGCAAAGGCACTGAAGTCCCAAGCTGGCAGGGAAAACAGGCTCAGAGGTAGTCTAGGCACATCAGATGGCAGTCCCAAGGGGGTTTCTGTGATCCAACGCGTCACAAGCACATCTTACTCTGGGTTTGCAAAAACACAATACATTTATGATGTTATACAAATAGGTGACTACTAAAAATAAATATAATCAAACTAATCTTCCTCACCACTCCACAGCCCAAGAGCCTATCACTCCAATTGTCTTATGAATCATTTCCAATGCACAATTTTCCCCTGTCAATTTTCAACAATTTTTTATGATTCAATATATAGCAATAACATTTGTATAGAAAACCCGAAATCCTAATATATAGGTAGCTGTTATTCAGTACTATTTTTGAGCTAAAGTGCACAATCCTCCAGGCATTACAATGTGAAGTTAAAAAGCATTCATCTGATCAAATCCCAAAGGTTCCACATCAGAATTATGTTGTCACAGAGAGAGAGAGAGAACAGAACAAACACTGACACTGTTTAATTTCTGGGGGAAGAGGGAGAGAAAGCATGGGCATAATAGCTCTTGGTAGCTCATAATCATTTCCTGAAGACAGAACTTATCACTGCTGCTTACAAATGTGCTTAAAATTTGAAGTTTGTGTATAGATACAGGTAGCAAACAAATGTCAGCACTAGCAGGGATCATTAGAGGTTTATTACAGCTAGTTTAACACCACTGAAGAAGAGCTCTGTGTAAGCTCAAAAGCTTGTTTCTCTCACCAACAGAAGTTGGTCCAATAAAAGATATTACCTCCCCCACCTTGTCTCTCTAACGCGCAAATCTGTAATTCAGCTAAGTATCCTGGGTGCTAAGATCTGCGTAAGAAAGATCCCTGAACAGCACACAGCTGGGGACTGGAATTACAACAGTGCCTGGGCATTCCTAAAGGTTAATTTAAAAAATTCATCTCCTGTAGAAAATGAAACACCTTAAACTTCCTGTGTTGCATAAAAAGTGCCTCAGGCTTCTTTTTCCATCAAGTGTAAGTGGCTTGTAATGACTGTTTTAATCCCAAATGATTATATTTAAAAAATGAGCAAGATTTAGGAATTCAGACCTGCCAGATGCTCAGCGCCTGATATGAGAAACCTGGCTCCATTTCCATACAGAAATTAAACAACAGGAATTGAACAGGCTGAACACCTCACTGAGGTACTCAGGACTTTACAGAATTGGGCCCAATCCTGCTTCCAGCTGTTTTCCCAGTAATTGTAATGAAGCCAGCTCAGACCCTTTGTGTGTACAACCATATCACTAGATCTTTGTGCCTTTCTTGAGATGTTATGAACACCTAGAACTCCTGTTTCTATCAGTGGAAGTTGCAGATGCCTGGTGCCTCTGAGGACCTGGTCCTTTGTGTTCCAGTTGCTTATGAACAACTGTATGTGCTGTCTGCATATGCTATTAACAGGCAGCATACAAGTGAGCATTAGTAGTCCTTAATTTTGCATTCATAGATTACAAGATCAGAAGAGACCACTGTGATCTTCTAGTCAGACCTCCTGCATAACCATGAATTAATTCCTGTTTGAATTAGAGCATTGCTCTCAGAAAAAAAACATCTATTCTTGATTTAAAAATTTACTGTAATGGAGAATCCAGCACAATCCTTGGTAAATTGTTCCAATAGTTAATTAACCTCGCAGTTAAAATTTTGCACCTTATTTCCAACCTAAATTTATCTAGCTTAAACTTGCAGACACTGGATCTTGTTATATCTTTGCTAGCTTAATGGAGAACAGAAATTTGATAATAGAGGACTCTTCAAAGTCCCTATAGACTGTGATTGAGTCACCCCTTAACCTTCTCTTTGATAAGCTAAATAGACTCAATGAGCTCAATCTCTCATATAATGCAGGTTTTCTATTCCTTTAGGCTTTTCTCTGAACCTTTTCAAATGTATCTATATCCTTCTTGAATTGTTGACACCAAAACAGGGCACAGTATTCCAGCAGCTGTCACACCACTGCCAAATACTGAGGTAAAATAACCTTTTTACTCTTACTCAATATTCCCCCATTTATGCATCCAAGGATCACATTAGCCCTTTTGGCCACAAGATCACACTAGGAGCTTATGTTCAGATGATTGTCCACCATGACCCCCCAAATCTTTTTCAGAGTCACTGCTTCCCAGGATAGAATCCTGCGTCTTGTATCTATGGCCTGCATACTTTGTTCCCAGATGCGTAATCTCACATTTGCTTATATTTAAATGCATACTGTTTGCTTGAGCTCAGCTTACCAAGCAAGCCGATTTGCTCTGTATCAGAGACCAGTACTCATTGCTATTTATCACTCCCACAATGTGTGTGTCATCTGCAAACTTTATCAGCAATTATTATATATTTTTTCCAGTTCATTGTTAAAAATGTTAAACAGTGTAAGGTTAAGAACCGATCCCTCATAACCTGTGATAAATGAAGGGGTGGGAGGGGGGAGAGTAAAGTTCCCTTTTATGGACACCCAGCCAGCCAGTTAGCTATAAAACTCCGTTCGTGGTTGTTCTCTACTTGCTTTACCTGTAAATGGTTAACAAGCCCACAGGTAAAAGGAAAGGAGTGGGCACCTGACCAAAAGGGCCAATGGGAGGGCTAGAACTTTTGGGAAATTGGGAAAAATCTTCCCTTTGTCTGTGTGTTATGGTCTCCAGGAAAGAGGGGAAGAGGGAACAGTTATGCTGTAAGAAGCTAAAGGCCAGATATGAAAATCATCCAATCATATCTAGACTACTTATTTAACAACCCAGATATGTAAGTACATCAGGAATGTTTAGAAATATGTGATTAGGTTTATTTCGGTTTACTTTTTATTGGCTTGTGGACTCCTCTGTATTAACCCCAAATGCTTTTGTTTTGCTTGTAACCTTTAAGCTGGACCTCAAGAAGGTTATTCTTGATGTTTAATTTTTGTAAGTGGGTTTTTTAAATCTAGCAAAAGCATAAGTTCCAGATGTATTTTCTTTCTTTTCGTTTTTAATAAAATTTACCTTTTTTAAGAACAGGATAGGATTTTTTGTGTCCTAAGAGGTTTGTGCATACATTGTTTAAGTAGTTGGTGGCAACAGCTGATTTCCTTTGTTTTTCTTTCTCAGCTCTTCCCCGGAAAGGGGGTGAAAGGGATTGAGGGTACCCCACAGGAAGGAATTCCCTAGTGCGTCTTTCTGGTTTCATAGGGGTTTTTTGCACTTGGGTGGTGGCAGCACCTACCCATCCAAGGTTAGAGAGAAGCTGTAACCTTGAGAATTTAATACAAGCCTGGAGTGGCCAGTATTAATTTTTAAAATCCTTGCAGGCCCCCACCTTCTGCACTTGAAGTGCCAGAGTGAGGAATCAGCCTTGACATACCCTACTAGAAACACACCCTGCTTGATGACAATTCCGTTTACAACTACATTTTGAAACCTACCAGTTACAACTCTAATTTTCAACAGGTTTGCTGATGATGCAGAATAAAATCCAGCTAACTTTCATCAACCTATGCTCCCTAATGAACCAATACATGTAGCATCTAGCTCCTGGGCTCCTCCACAGCTGAACAGCACCAACTGTAGTAGAAACTTGTTTTGGTCAGTATAGCAGATGTATCTCAATTGCACACATGGAAGCAAGTATAAAGACCAAGAAAGCAACATGTATTATTGACTATAACAACATCATATTAGATCATTTCTATCTACTAATCCTGTTGAAATTTACTACATTTGAGTTTTCCTTTGTCTTTTACAATGGTTAAAATGAAGAGATGCCAGTGATAGTGCGACACTTACATTTTGTGACTTTCTATTGTCTATAGAATTATTACATCTTTGAAGATTCCCTTCCTTCCACCATTATTTTAATCCAGGACAAAATGTGTTGTATCGGAAGAATTTTGCATCATATTTTGATATCTTTACACACTGTTGAGTAGCATCTCACTTTGCAAGAAGACCCCTAAACGTAAATGGGATTACTTTTGCAAGTAACTGTTCACCAATCTGAGTAGAGATTCACAATCTATCCACTCATGCTCCCAGGTAAGACTCACCTTCTTTCAGCGCTTTATCCATGTTATGAGAAATGACCACCCTCCTAGACTGGAGCGATTCATGTGCATTTCCAGACAAATGACTCTGAAATAAAAGAACACCTATTACCAAAAATAAAGAATTAAGCTGCATAAGAAAGAAGAGAAAAAACAAAGCCCAAAATAACAGTAAAATCACCTGCTTTTTACAAGACACTCCTGCTATCCAAATTATTAAAACAAAATCGATGGCATTTTCCTAAAACGTTGACAAGGGCACTTGAAGTGAGAATCTTATGAAACATACTAGGGTTTAAATTCTCTGATTTGCAATAATTCTATTATATTTCCTAAAGGGCATTGTCTCCTATTTACAATCTCATCAGTCAACAGTCGGACACTTGCCAGGTCCAGCACTCTAAGCAACTAAAAAAAATGTTCTAGTAAACAGTGTAATGTTTTCATAGATTTACAAGATCTCAGGGAAGCAAAATTCCTGGACCAGCAGTTCACTTGGATACAAAGACAAATGTTGCACCTTGGTACACTTCAGTGAAAGGCCAGTAGCAAACATTAAATCATGGGAGCATTCTGTCAAAACAGGTTTTGCTCAGCCCTGTGAAATGTTTTAAAATGTGAGCCCTTTAAATTTTCCAAAGCACTTTTCTATTAAGTAAAGTACTAGCCATGAATATCCATGACTACTTATTTTTAAGCTAATTACCTAAATAGGCATTTTTTAATTTTAAGATATTAGCCTCTACAGCACCAAAGGGAGGCTGGTGGGGGGGGACGTCCACACCAGAGTGTGATTCTAAAAGCATGTCCAGAAGGAGCAGGCAGGATCTGCAATTCAGGCCTTGACTACATTGGAAGTAGGATGCAGCCACATTGCTGCCAAACCGACCTAACTCCGACAGATATGGAGTTGCACTGATTGCAAACCAGACTAATTATGTTGACTTAAGTGCACAGATCTGTTAATGGGAGAGAATTTGTAAACGGATGCAAGACAGTCCCATGTTATTCCAGTACAACTTTTAAATACAGAAAAGGATTCAGTCCCTTGCTGAAGAGACAGCACTTTGGAAATGTTCTCCTGGTAAATATAAAAGTTATTGAAAGAAGGGGGAAAACGTGCAAAAATCTTTCCTCTAAATCTGGGGAGAAGTCCAAACAGAAATGAAGTGTTAGAACTTATATCTGCCAAAACTGTAACCTGATTTAAAGAGAGTCTGATGGCTCAGTGCATTTTGGTGCAATTAATACACTATCTTTTTCTTACGATACATGTATAGTGTCTAGCACAGATGTGGGCAAACTACAGCCTGCGGGCCAGACGACCGCCCTGCCCAGCCCCTGAGCTCCTGGCCCAGGAGGCTAGCCCCCAGCCCCTCTCCTACTGCCCCTCCTCCCCTGCAGTTACACAGCTGTGCGGGCAGCACTCTGGGCAGCAGGGCTGCGCGCTCATGCAGGACAGCGTGTCAGAGTGTCTGGCTTCGGCTCGGCTCCCAGACATTCTGCTCTGGGCGGCATGGTAAAGGGGCTGGGGGGTTGGATAAGGGCAGCGGTTCCTAGGGGGCAGTCAGGGAGCAGGGGATGGTTGGATAGGAGGTGGGACCCCGGGGGGGGGAGCAGTTAGGGGTGGGGGGGTCCCGGGAGGGGGCAGTCAGGGGACGGGGAACAGGAGGTGGTTGGATAGGGCAGAGGTTCTGGGGGGGAGGGAGTCGGGGGGAATGGGGGGGCAGTTAGATAGGGGGTAGAGTCCCGGGGGGGGGGTTATGGGTGGAGGTCCTGGGAGGGGGCAGTCAGGGGACAAGGAGTGGGGGGGGTTGGAGGGTGAGGGGTTCTGAGGGGGGCAGGAAGTGGGAGGGGGCAAATAGAGGGCAGGGGCCAGGCTGTTTGGGGAGGCACAGCCTTCCCTACCTGGCCCTCCATACAGTTTTGGACCCCAATGTGGCCCTCGGGCCAAAAAGTTTGCCCACCCTTGGTCAAGCACAACACACTTCTAATGGGTTCTCGATCCCCAATCAGAGCCTTTAGGTGCTACCATTATAGTAATATTTTTTATAAATCACAGCACAATCAATGAATTAACCTTACACTATTTCATAGAGTTCTTTCATATGAATGTCTCCTAGCACTTAAAAGCTAGCATCATAAGCAGGTAAGGAGTTCCACAGATCTGGAATGCCATATATAAGGAGAGGACTTCTCTTTCCCCTTAGGCAGAAAGGATAGTTTGGACAGCTGAGGGTTTTCTAAACATTTTCCTGAACCTGTAAAATACTAACAAAAATATTTTGAGGATTCTGATTTGTTACTTTTGAGACAATTTGTTTCACACAGCAAATTCATAATGCCAGTCATGGCATTACTTCAGGATTTATGTGCCTTATTCATAGGATGGAAATAAAATTATTCCCCATGTCTCAATTTAAAAAGAAATGGGAAGAGAATCAGCTGCATAAATATTCCAATTACATTTCTAAAGAAATGTAACAGAGTGATACTTCAGAGGGTCCTGGAAACAAAAGCCATTCAAGTTTTCCCCTAGGATCATTCTCTAACACACATACTTGTTTACATTATATAGTTGCATTGAGTATCTTTTTCCTCATTCTAGAGTAGTGATGGATCCAATGGAGCATCTGCCACAAATTTCTACATTCAAAACTAGTTCTAATGTAATCCAGGACAAAGAAATTATACATATTAAACACCTATTTTTGCCTCATATCATGGGACTTTTTCCTTCTTCTCAACTCAGTACCCCTTTACAAGCAGAGGAAAGGACGTCAGCTCAATACTTTAAGAATAGATCCCTTTCTGTATCAGGAATTACTCCATATCACAGGCACTATAATCCCATATACACAATTCTACAAAGTGGGCTCACTGCACAATTTGATCCTTTCATATTTCAGTCTTAAAAGTCTTATGCTTCAACACAAAGAGCAGTGCTTCCCTATTGCCTGAGGGTAAGACTTCTGTTTGACAGGGTTTCTTAATTTTATGTAGATGTCCAAAAATAAGGGATTTTGGGGGGGCTCTCGTATATACTGTACTGAGCAACATATTATACACTTCACAGTAATGAGTAATTTCTTTATAATGTTCCCTAGTGCACTTTAATATAGTAGTGTTTAGGAAATCTTTAGGATCTTCAGTGCGCACCAGCAGGGTCTTTCACTGACGAACATCTTAGTGCGCTTTAGAAATCACACCTAGTAGTGTGACAAGCACTTAGATACAAGTAACTATTTCCAAAATTTTTCCAGTGTTTATTGGATAAAACACCAATTTGATTTTTTTTTAATTAAATGGTGGGCGTTTTATCTATGTTTATTAGTTAAAACCTAAAAATCAAAAGCCCTTATTGTGGAGTACTTTACTGAGGCAATTGCAAACTCATGGTTTAATTCATAAAAATTTATTTTACAGAACATTATTGTTTATAATTTGCAAGTTTTATCTTCTAAACGGCAAGTAGTGCTCTGCTTAAATCAAACATGTTCAACAAGAACCAAGAGACAGCGATACTCGATACTCGGCAGCAAGAGATCTGAACAAAAGGGGTGATCAGAAGAAGGAACTGGGTAAGAAATCACAGTGGACAAGGATGATAAAAAAACTTTTAAAATAATTATCTATTTGGTGGCACAGTACACAACTATTAAAGGACACAATGGAGATACATTGTATGGAAGCTGCACAGTAAGTTGAATTTTCTGAGAAATACTGCAGAGTGACACAGGAATCGGTGTAGAAGGTCATAGACAGTGCAGCAGTGCCACAGTTTGAGAGGAAATGGCTCCAGACTGGCAGAGAGCAAACGGGAAAAGAGCTAAGCAAATATTAGTCCTCCTGTTGTAAAATTCAAATCAAATCTCTAGGGGAAAAAGATCCCAATTATATGTAAACATTCACTTTTATTTGTATGAGCAGCAGATGCTTTTTCACATGAACTCATCCAAGAATACACAGGGGAATTCAGTTTAACTCGTAATTACTAACAATGAACCGCATTTCAGGGTATGTCTATACTAAAGCAACTGCTGAGTTTGACACCACGTGTCATACAAAGATCCCTACCTCTAAACCCCCATTCTCTTTCCAGCCGGTGTTGACAGTCAACAGTGCTCAACATCCCCCTAGCAATGCCTCTTGCACTTTGCTTTACACTGAGAAGCTTTTTAAATCCAACCATCAGTTCAGCTCCATTGGTGCTGGCAAAGGCGGGGGTGTTAGTGTAGACAGGCCACTGGGTTGAACGATGGAACAGTAAAGACAGCAGACAGTCTATTATCAGGGTTCCATGGGTCCATGAACTATTGGAAGTAGACTTGCACCAGCTCTAGAGCAACAGTGGGAGATTTTCAGAAAATCCTTTGTGCACAGACAGCTTGAGAGTTCTAGCAGAAGGAAATGTCTGCACACTTTGGTACAATGAGCATTGAACAGTTGACTGCCCATGCCAGCAGGACAAATGGGTGTAATACTGGTTTGAGGTGAGGTAAACAGGAGCTAAAAGGGCATGTGGGTGTCAAACACCACAGTTTCTGTAGTGTAGGTAGGACTTTAAAATTACCCCTACACTGGTTCCCATTACTGCCAGTATGTCTGTGCCCCACTTTCACTGGGGGGAGAGGGGGAAAATGAAGTTCTGGTTATAAAGCTCAGACTAGAAAGGGCTTACTTTGTTTTCTTTGATGTTTTCACATCTAAAGGAAGTGCCACTCATATAAATGCAGAAGTTGCACTGATTTAACTAAGATACAATTTTAAACCTATTTAATTGAACTGGTGCAAACCCCTGCAGGGACGTTCTTTTAGATCAATTTAAGCCTGATGTTTGTTTGTTTAGCTTGTGTCACAAGCTAAACTGAAATAAGCCCGTTTTCAACTCATATAAAAGAGTGCCAGGGTGGATAAAAATCAATGCTCTTTTTAAAAAAAAAAATCAGATTTTTTTTAATTTAAATCGGACTTTTTTGATAAAATGTTTTTTGAGGAAAAAAACCTATCTATAGTTTTAATTAAGATTCATTATAGCTCAAAGATATCTCATCATAGAATAGGGATTATAAATTCCAATTTTATAGC